TGCCTTCCTCCTGACCCCCCCAGACGTACCTTCCTCCGCCGGAGGTGGTGGCCGTGGCTGTTGTCGCTGCTCAGACGGTGTCCGGGCGGCGGGGCTGGGGCATTGTCCGTGGGACGGTCCCTCCCGCAGCAAAAACGGCCCTTGGGTCGCGTTCCCCGGTTACCGAGCGGAGAGCTGAGGTCGAGAGGCTTAATTCAGGGATGGGGTGTGTGTGTGTGTGTGTGGAATAAAACAGGGGCTAAAAAGGAACGCTTTTTTTTCTTTCTTTTTTTTTTTTCTCTTTTTTTTTTCCTTTTTTTTTTTTTTTTTTTTTCTCCCTTCTCTTTTTAGATCGATCTAGTGCCTTGGAAGTAGAGAAAAAGTTAATAAAGACAGCTTTCCAGCCAGTGCAGAGGCGGTAAGAGATTGCTTCCTCCGTCTCCTCAGGATCTATAGAGGGAGTTGGAAATGGTTGGCTTATTTTCTCCGCTCCTTTAGTTCCCTTTCCAGGGCGGCTTCTTGTCCTTCCCCTGCGTGCGTGCCGGCTTATTCTCATTATCTATCTATCTATCTATATATTTTTTTAATTATTATTATTATTATTTTTGCTGTTCTCTCTCCCGGGACGGAGCGGGCAGGCCGAGCCGCGGCCGGGGGGCGGCGGTTGCGGTGCGGGGCGGTGCGGGGAGCGAGCCCGGGGCCGGGCGGGAGCGCATCGGGGACAGCGAGCACCCCCGGGCCGAGGGAGGAACCCGCCGGCGGTGGGGAAACAATAAACAGGCGTTTAAAATAAACCCCGGGTAGTACGAAAGCCGAAGGGGCTGAGCTTTGCTGTCCCGAGCGTGGCGGAGCCCTCACCGAAATAATTCCTCTTTTGATTGACCGAAACCACGGGGAATTTCGTGGGTTTTTTCCGTAGCTAAATACATTTGCTATGAGTCGCTCTAAAAACTTTTTTTTTTTTTTGCTTTTTAAATTTAGAAATCCATAAAAAAAATTACCAACAACAACAAAACAAGTGCTACCTAAAGTTAAAAATATTGTGCCAGCCCAATCTGACTAGAAATCCTATTAAATATATTTTTTTTCTGTGTCATTTTTTTTTTCCAGGCCCCAGAACCAACTTGATGCCGCTATGGTTCTATCGGCGTTGTCATCATCATAGTTAATTTTTTTTTTAATTGTTGTTGTAATGATTGTAAAAAAAAATAATAAATCTCTGTATAGTTACGACTTGTAAGCATGTCCGTATATTAAAACTAAAAAGGAAAAAAAAAAAATCCCGCTTCTGTACTATCATCTGGATTAGCTGAGTTTGTGAGGTTTTTTGGAAGTCCAGTGAGAATTAGGTGTTTCGATTTTTTTTTTTTTTTTGGTTGTTGTTTGGTTGGTTTGGTTGGTTTTTTTTTTTTGTACATACAGTAAAAAAAAAAAAATAATGTACATACGTGTGAACCAAATTGTACAAGAAAGTATATATTTTTGGCTAATAAATAAAAACTGTTGCCACTTTGACTACACTCTCTCCTCCCACCTCCGGAGTTATTTTTCTCCCCCCGGTTCCCCCGTTCCCCGCCGGCTGATGGTGTTTCCGTGCCGGGGGGGTCGGGGGGAGCGGTGCATCCCCGACCGGAGCGGGGCTTCTCCCGCCGCCGGAGCGGGGTTTGCGGGGCCGCCGGCGGGACCGGCACCGGC